GAGAGTCATCAAAATCTACCGGCAAGTGCTAACAGAGATCAGGCCTGATTCTGCAAACACTGCGGTTTTGTGTGCAATGTATCAAGTGACAGTGACCTACTGACACTGCACTTGTTGGGGGAGAAGGGGGGGGTAAGCGTAGGGGCTAAACGCAGGTGCTGGCAGGTGCCGGGGCTGACCCCACTAATGCTGCGCTTTTGGGGACGCTATACTAATGTGAACGCTGGTATAGTGCTGATCTGATCAAAGATATTGATCCGTTCAGACACTATACTAGCAGTGGAGGTATATTGTACATGAACGTGCTCCTGGCAATCAAGGGGTTACATGTGATGACTGGTGTACTGACGGGCAATCTGATGCTATCTTGGGAGGGGCGTGAAAACCACGGGAGCGCAAATCATGTATGTATATATATGTGATTTGGCGCACCCACGCTGCCCTGTAACAGTATTTCTGCTATAGGGTGGTCAGTGTTACATCAATGCGTTACTTTAACTGACAAATGCGCGGTCATGCAACACTGCACCCAAATTAAATTTACATCCTTTTTTTCCCACAAATTGAGCTTTCTTTCGGTGGTATTTGATCGCCTGCGCGTTTGTTATTTTTTGCGCAATAAAAAAAAAAGGCTGACAATTTTGATAAAAAAAAAACAATATTTTGGACTTTTTGCTATAAAACATGTCCAGTAAAAAAAAAAAATGTAAAAATCAATTTTCGTCATAAATTTCGACCAAAATGTATTCTGCGACATGTCTTTGCTAAAGAAAAAAAATCCCAATACGTGTAAATTAATTGGTTTACATGAAAGTTATAGCGTCTACAAATGGTGGGAAAGATACTGGGATTTTTTTTTTTTTCTTATACTAATAATGGCGGCGATCAGGGATTTATGACAATGATCAGAGACTTATGGCGGGACTGCGGCGGACATTTTGACACTGGGGGGGAACTGACTTGGAGTCACTGACATCCCCAGTGACACCAATACAGTGATCAGTGCAAAAAAAAAAACACTGACACTGTACTAATGGCACTGGGGAGGAAGGGGTTAACTTTTTTTAGGCAATGAAAGGGTTTACTGTGTGAGGGGAGTGTTTTACTAGGGGTGGGGGTGTGTGCTTCACAGGAACACACTGATCTGGAGAGATAAACTCCTCTCTCAGGATCAGTGCGTTAGGAGCTGACAGCTGTGCTCTGTGTCACTGTTTGCCGGCAATCGTCGGGACCCGGCGGGTAATGACCGGCCGGGACCCAGTGATTGACACCCGCTGCCGCGATCGGCGGGACGGGTAGGGTGGGTGCGCGCCTCGTGCGCGCCCCCTACCTGTTTTGCAAAATGACGTTTTAAAAAGTGATTTTGCCCAGTGGTGCCACTTTGTGGCTGTTTTTTCTACGGTGGCTGGACGGCAAGCAGTTAAATGTGGTGGCTGCATTTGTTTTCTTTTCTTAGGCTTTTCCCCCTTTGTTTTCATTTGGTGATCTGGCCAGTAACACTTCTTCTGTGTTAGTGAGACACAACAATGGAGGAATGACATAGGAAGCACAGCAGACAGCAACATTGTCAGTCTGGGGGGGGGGGGGGGGGGGGGGCGGGGTGTAAAATGTATTAGCAGATTTGAATGCAATAACAAATTGAAGCCAAACTCCAGCTCACACTTTGTAATCAGTTACAGTTTTTCCTTTTTGGGATAAAGGTTTTACATAAATAAATAAAACTGATTGTTTGAACCACCCCTGCCAGTGGTAAATGGATTATTTCATCCCTGTAACAGATAAATATTACTTGAACCTCAGAAAAACCACAGAGGTACTGGCTGAATCACCAGATGAAAATAGCAGAAAGAAAGCCTAAAAAGGAGACTTCAATGCAGCGATCACATCTAGGAATTGGAAAGCTACACTAAAATAAATGTTTGGTTTTTTTCAGAACATTTGGCAACTATATGTAGCACCCTCCTAGTTTAGCTAGGGGGAGCTAGAGTCCTGATTGTCAGCGAGGAAGGCAGAGTAAAAGCCTGGGTGTAATAGCCAGAGGGTCAAATTGTGGTCAGGGCTGAGAGGTTCTGCTGGCTAGCCCCTCTGAAACTTCCCCCTGATCTGGTGCTTTGGAAGAAGGCCTTGGAGGCAGTGGGTGGATCTGAGGAATGACTGGCTGCACTCCTGAGGGGTCCTAGCCAATCCCCAACAAGAGGTTGGCAAGGGGCTGGACACCCTTAAAAGTGCTGGAGCCTGCTCAGCTGCAGGAGAGTTGGAGGGGAGAGTTCGGGTGGAAGACAGGGAAGAAGATGTGAGGCTGAGAGCAGGAGGCTGTGAGGAGGCCCAGTGGGATGGGGCCTACCTGAAGGCCTTTATGGCAGGGAAGGAGCAGCCCAGCTGATAGGCCTGGTAGAAGCCACCAACCCACAAGTGGTACAGGAGAGGATTTGAGTGAGTACACCTGCACCCCCTAGGCAGATAGGTGGAGGAGCACTCTGGTGGGAAACCAGATTAGCCACCAACCAGTGACTGTCCATCTCATAAAGTGGCAGGAACTGGATCCCTGTTCAAGGATACCTCCAGATTGCTGTGTTCATCTAGGGCAGGGGTGTCAAACTGGGGGCCCTCCGGCTGTTGCAAAACTACAAGTCCCATCATGCCTCTGCCTTTGGGAGTCATGCTTGTAACTGTCAGCCTTACAATGCCTCATGGGACTTTAGTTTGGCAACAGCTGGAGGGCTGCTAATTTGACACACCTGATCTAGGGTCTGGGGTGGTACACTAAGGAGACACTGGCTAGCTCTCCAAAATGGACTGTGCTGCAGAGAAGGCTTGTAAATAGTTCCAGGAAGTTGCTCTTAGGAAGGTACCCTTGGGCATCCTGTACACCCCTAACTCTATCCCAGTTCAAATCCCCTAAATAAAACAACAAAACCAATGTTCAAGGACTGATCTCTGATTCTGGATGCAAGCCTGTATGAAGATTTGTGATGCCTCACTGTGCAGGACTATAGGGGGACCCAAATCTTCTAGCGACTCCTAAGGGGGTAGTACTACATAATTGTGACCTTTGTAGGGTTGCCACCTCATCCCTTTAAAACTGAACACACATTAGTTACACAGGCTGGGGCTGATTTAATTCACACAAGGCACCAAGTGAGTTTAATTACCATCTTAACCACTTGAGCTCCAGAGGATTTACCCCCCTTAATGACCAGGCCTCTTTTTGCTACTCAGCGCTGCACTAATTCAACTGATAATTGCGCGGGTCATGCAATGCTGCACCCAAAGGAAATTTACGTCCTTTTTTTCACACAAATAGAGCTTTCTTCCGGTGTAATTTGATCACCTGTGCGCTTTTTATTTTTCACACTATAAACAAAAAAAAGCCAAAAATTTTGAAGAAAAACAATATTTTTACTTTCAGCTATAAAAAATATATAGTAAACTCAAAGTTGGTTATAAATTTAGGCCAAAATGTATTCTGATACATGTTTTTGGTAAAAACAAAATCCCAATAAGTGTATATTGATTGCTTTGTGTGGAAGTTATAGCGTCTACAAACTATGATATAAATAATGGAATTTACACCATTTTTCTGCTATACAGAGCTGCGCTAGTTTAACAGACAATTGCGCGGTCATGCAATACGGTACATAAATGAAATTTACATCCTTTTTTGCCCCACAAATCGAGCTTTCTTTCGGTGGTATTTGATCGCCTGTGCGGTTTTTATTTTTTGCGCTATAAAAAAAAAAGGCTGACAATTTTGAGGAAAAAAAAACAATATTTTGGACTTTTTGCTATAAAACATGTCCAGTAAAAAAAAATGCAAAAATCAAATTTAGTCATAAATTTCTGCCAAAATGCATTCTGCGACATGTTTTTGCTAAAAAAAAAAAAAACAATACGTGTAAATTCATTGGTTTACGTGAAAGTTATAGCGTTTACAAATGGCGGGAAAGATACTGGGATTTTTAGTTTTTTTTTTGTATACTAATAATGGCAGCGATCAGCGAATTATGGCGGCGATCAGGGACTCATGGCAGCGACCAGCGACTTATGGCGGGACTGCGGCGGACATTCTGACATTGGGGGGTACTGACTTGGGGTCACTGACATCCCCAAAAACACTAATATAGTGATCAGTGCAAAAAAAAAAACCCACTGACACTGTACTAATGGCAATGGGGAGGAAGGGGTTAACTTTATTTTGCAGGGAAGGGTTATGAGTGAGGGGAGTGTTTTACTAGGAGGTGGGGGTGTGTACTGGACGGGACAAGGCTGATTGAGAAAGAGAAACTCTTCTTTCTCGATCAGCTCATCCTCGAGCTGACAGGGAAGTGACAGACAGCACAGCTACTGCAGCTGTGCTGTCTGTCACTGTTTGCCGCTGATCGCCGGGAAAACAGCCGCTAAGGACTGGCTGTGACCCGGCGGCTCACATCTGCGGCGGTGATCGGCGGGACAGATAGGGCGGGCGCGCGCCCCCTATTTGTTTACAAAACACACGTTTTAAAACGGGGTTTTGCCTGCGAGTGCCGCCCTGCCGCCGTATATCTTGCTGGGCGGCAAGTGGTTAATCAGCCAGGGAACCTGTGTCATTAATATGTGTTTGTTTTTAAAGGAATGAGGTGGCAACCCTAGAGCTTTATTGCCATATAGCCTAGGCCTCCGAGTACTGGGTCCATAATGGGTGTGTGATATTATTAGAGACTGCAGTGAGGGTATTGTTTACAGTCAGACAAACCTCATCACCAACATAAAGGGATTGGAAAAAGCAAAGTGTGATTGATGGGTTTTTGTTAAACATTCATTTCACTGGTCATTCTCAAATGTACTCTAACATTAAAAAGCCGCTGATACTATAGGTCCTCATACTCTGTAGTCATTTTGTAGGGCTGCCATTAGCTGTGGGCCCAGCAAGTGGCGCTGTTCGGAAATAGCGGAGGCCTTTTCAGCCGTGGTCTCAACTGTCTCCCGCGTGTTCAGCGGCTCGTTGATTCCCATGTTGTGATCGCAGAGCGGTGATGGCGGCCGCCGAGAAGAGCACGAAGGAGAAGCTGATGTCCGTGCTGGATGATGTGGAGGTTCTGTCCAGGTGAGCCATGGCTTCTCTCCAGTACTGGGTGCAGGCGCTGTACACACGGCCCAGTGTACCCCGGGCTGGGCTTAGTGGATGGCTGGTTGTAGAGCAGTGCAAGGCACTTCTGTCCATTCATTCTCATGGAGGCTTCCCCAGCTCCTGGAGGTCTGTCTCTGGAGGGTTCCATTGAGGTTTTCTGGCGGACTGCACGGCTTCCTGCCTGGACAGCTCGACTTTCCTATGTAGTCCGATCATAGATGATCATTACACTGAACCTGCTGTGAGGAAAACATGGAGGCTGCCATTGCCTGAGCTCATCCATCCCTGTTCCTCTCACAAGAGGTTAAAAGGTCCACTCCAGACACACACTTTCATTTAAATATATTCCTAATAGCCACAAAGGATATGAATGAACATTGCCAGCACCGAATGCAAACCCAGATATCAGCTTGTAAACGTAGTAATGACATCGTCACTGTGCTGCAGCTGTGCATTTCAACCAATCCCCTTCCTCCTTCATTTTCAAAGCTTAACTGAATAAGTATAAAAGAACCTGATTGGTTGCTATGCAGCGCTGCTCCACATTCCGCGTGCTCCCTTTTGTGAATGGGTTTACATAATACAAAGTCTTATTGTGATTGGGCAAGAGGATAGGAGGGGTCGGCACAGCAGCTAAACACAACTCTTCACCTGTGAAAGTGAGAGCACAAGGTCCAGCTCCAAATGTACTCCTTATGAGCGGTAATATATAAATAAAAGACAAGCATACATCTGGTTAACCACTCACAAGGCAGCAGATGTTTCCTGGTGCGGACGTCCAGTTCTGGGAGGGCGTCATGTGATGTCCTCCAAGAAACGTGCCTCCTGTGGTGCGCACCCGGTGCTCTCTGAATGCTGCGTCCTGTGGACATAGCTGATCACATGTCGCAGTAAAGGGCCAATCACAGCGGCCCTTTACCACGTGATCAGCTGTCTTCAGTTGCTGATGTAAACACACTTGCAGGCTATCTGCAGTACTCTTCTCGCACTGTCACAGCATAAGGAAAGTACTGCCGATACCTAGCAATGTGAAAGAGACATTGCACTGATATTCAGCGCACTATCAGTGCAGACCCAACAGTGCCGACAATGCCAATTAGGGTCCATCATTGCCACTTATCAGTGCTGTCTATTAGAACCCTTTAGTGCTGCCTCTTGGTGCCCATCACTGCCACATATCACAGCCATCCAGCGCAGCCTTATCAACGCACATCAGTGAAGGAGAAGAATTACCAGTTTGCAAAACTTTACAATAGAAACTAAGAAAAACTTTTTTTTTTCAAAGTTTTCAGTCTTTTTTTATTTGTTTAGAAAAAATAAAACCCAGTGGTTATTAAAGTGTTACTAAACCCACAACAGTAAAATCAGTCTGTATATGCAGTAAAGCATGCTTGTTATACTCCCTGTGGAACCTAAGGGTTTAATCCTCTGCATTGTGTAAAAACACTGAGCATGACTTTTCTGATCCTCCTCTTCTTCCAGTGTCCCCCTCTTATCTCCTGATAACACATATGGAGTCACTCTGCACATGCTCAGTTTAGTTTGTATTGCTAGAGAGTTTTTTTTTTGGGGGGAGAGTGCATGTGATTAGCACAGGGCCGATCAGCACTGTCCAGACAGAGTTCAGGGGTTCTGTATCCTCTTAGAGCAGAATGAAAACTCCTCCTACAAGCTTTAACATGTGCTCTGCTGGACGCTGATTGAAGTCACAAGACTGTGCCAACTGCTGCCGAGAAAAGGTATTTAGCAGTTAACATCTACTAAAATAATTGCACTTCTATGTTCTGTTTACTCTGGGAGGCCATATAGAGTGAATGCAGGATCCTGAGTTTAGTAACACTTTAAATACCACCAAAAGAAATCTCTATTTGTGTGAAAAAATTTTTAAAAATTTTATATGGGTACAGTGTTGCATGATTGCACAATTGACATTCAAAGTGCAACAGCGCTAAAAGCTGAAAATTAGCCTGGGCAGGAAGGGGGTAATAGTGCCCGGTAGGCAAGTGGTTAAAGTTCTTTACTTCCCCTTCTTCTACTGTTCCCAATCTATCTGCTGATAGTACAGAGCTCTAGGAGACATTCTGCACATGCTCAGTTTAGTGCATATGGCTATAGAGTTTTAGTTTTTTTTTTTGGGAGGGTGCAAGTGATCAGCACAGGGCCAATGGGTACTGTCCAGGCAGAGGGTCAGGGGTCAGCCTCATAGGAAAGTCAGAGCAGAATGAAAACTCCTCCTACAAGCTTTAACCAGTGCTCATCTGGACACTGAAAGAAATCACAAGACTGCTATGTACTGCTGAAAAGAAAAGGCATTTAGCATTTTATATTTACTAAAATAATTGCATTTCCATGTTCTGTGTACTGTGGGAGACCAGATATAGTGAATGCTGGGTCCATGGTTTAGTAACACTTTAAGTTTCTAAATTCATTTACAGGTGCATTTGACTTCTTTCTGGCCTGCTTCATGTACATTTTATTCCCATAGATTGTATTGAAATGCAAGACCTGCTTAGTGAATGTTCGTGCTGTATGTGCTGGACCACGCTGGTCACCCCTGCTCAGCACAGTTCAACATGTAGACAATGCAGTTTGTCTTGTGTCCAATGAGTTTATATCACCTCACTGCAGTGATGTGCTGAAAAAACTTTGACATGCTTAACTTTTTTCACAGTAGTACACTGCATTGCAATCTACGTCAATAAATAGAGATGAATAAAATGTCACTATGTAATAAAGTTGAAAAAAAAAATCCCAGTGTGCGTCAGTTTGCACCTTCCCCCTAACACTTTCCTGAGCCGATCTCAATCAAGCGATGTCCATTAGAGCAGTGGCTAAGACACAGCAGCGGGAGCCAATGGTTCCCACTGCTATAAATCCTAGCCAATGAGGAGGGAGAGGGGTCAAGCTACGCTGTCTGTTTTCTAGACGCACAGCGGAGGCAAGGGAGTGAGCATGCACGAGTGCCCCCAGAACAAGCAGCTTGCTATGAGGGCACTTGGAGAAGAAGAGCTAGGTGTGCCAGCAGGGGACCCGAGAAGAGGAGGATTGGGCTACTCAGTGCAAAACCATTACACAGAGCAGGTAAGTATGGCATGTTGTTTGTTTATTTTAAATGTAAAATCTGAACCTTTACTATCACTTTAAGTCTTGAGCCACTGGAAAGGTAGTTATACATTATGTTCCTCTAGTTTGCTGCACCTAAGCTACCTATACATGGATCGAAATTCAGCTGGTTCAGCAGGGACCGGCCAAATTCATGTATGGGCTAGTTGGTTGTATGAAAGTTGATCTATCGATTGACTTGTGTATAGCCAGCCTGTCAGGTTTTTCTCACAGTCATGCAGCCGGCTTTAGCTGCCAACACTGATCCTGGGAGAATACAATAGCTCGGCGGGAGTGATTTCCCCCTTCCATAGCAAATATGTGGATAGGGAAAGTGGTTCATTTCTTTTTTCGTTCAACCCACTGGTTGAACGAAAAAAATGAATCCTGTATGGACAGCCTTAATGACAAGGTTGCTTTACAGCATACTGCTGCTTGTTGGGGATATGAAAACATGTAGATATCAGAATTATTTCTTTAGCCTGGACACAGTTGTGCCTTGATTCAGTTAAGGTAAGTGTATGCTGTCAGCTGCTTGCTCTTGGTTTAGTATTTTTTTTTCTCTTCTGCGTGTTTGCTATAACAGCAGACAGCTACAGATAGATCTTATGTTGTTAAAACTTGCAGTGATAGTTCATCCGTTTTGTATAATTGCTGTAACATGTTCCTCTTTTTCAGAGAATTAATAGAACTTTTGGCACTTTCACGGAACCAGAAGTTAAATCAACCTGGGGAAGAAAATCAAGTAAGCTTTCCTGCATATACTCCTTATACTTTTTATATAGTTGGCAAATACCAGGTGCCATGTCGTAATATCTTGAGACTTGACTTTCCTTATAGCCAGAAATGATCTATACATCTTCATTCTAATATTAACAGTAGAGAAGCAAAGTTATCTTGTTAGATTCAACTTCCTTCATAAAACAAATGTAAAACCTAAAGCAAACCGTTACTACTCCGCTGTCCTGCTGCTTAAGCTGCCAAACTCCACCAAGTCGAAGAGCTAATCATGCTGAAAGATCTTCAATAGTTTAATAGTTGAAGTGTCAGATGCGTGGCTTCCCACTGCGTTCCGTGATTCCAGCTGCTAAGCCCTACATTAATACAGGATGCTGTGGTGATGTGCAGTCATAGTAAATGTGAACGTTGAGAAGTGTGCTGGACAGTGAAGATCTTTCAGCAAAGTTATAATGTCGAAGATTGTAGAACTAAATAATTTGTGGGCCAGTTTTCAGACTTAAACATATTTATTACAATTTGTAGAGATCCGTTCCTAGGACTGAGCTTGAATGTTTTCATTGTGTTAGTGAGTTAACTATTGGGAACTGTAGTACAAGATTGTCAACCTATTATTTATTTTTTTTTCTTTAAAGATCTCCTATTTAAATGGAAGGCCTGCTTTTTTCCAGCCCACTGCACCACCACAACAAATGGGTTTATAAAGCCATTGACCAAGAAACTGCCCCCACCAAAAAAAAACAACTTATCTTGACTGGCTTTCAGGCAATTGAAAGAGTGCTTTCTTAGAGAGCCAGCTTTTCCGGAAGCCATGCATCAACAGCTGGGCCTGAGAGAGATAGATATATATATATATATATAGATAGATATATATATATATATATATATATATATATATATATATATATATATATATATATATATCTATCCATTTGTGTTAGAGGTGGGAGGCAGGGGGCTGGCCAATAAAAGTGCACCTTCTGTTTTCTTTGGATGGTCCCCTTTAACTCCTAAAAGCCAGCCTGAAACTGATGTTTTCATTTTGGTTTGGTTGCTGCCAATTTTAATCTCATGCTGGCTTTTTGTTTTTCTAGGGAACTTCCGTGATAGCTCCACTAATATTCTCTGTCTCAAAAGGCAGAGGTGTGTTGTGCCCCTTTGATGTTTTTTGCTTATGTAAAACATATCGAAGTCAATTTACTGTAGAGTGACACCTATATTATGATTTTATAAAAGGGCATGGTGACAAAATTTCTTTGAAAAAAAAAAAAAAAAAAACATTTTTCTTAAAGCAGGTGTAGGTGATTCAGTTCAGTGGTGCCGACCCACAACTGTTATGTCCACTTTAAGGGCCAGTTCACACTACATGCATTTTCAGTGTGCTTTTTTTTTTCTGCATCCAAAATGCAAAGAAAGTAGATTATATGGTTGTCAATGTCATAGTTCACATCAGTGCTTTCAGTTCCAGTGCGTTCCAGATGTAGAAAAAAAATGTAGAACAGGCTGCATTTTTCCTGCACAGAACTGTACTGGAATGCAGTAAAATGCACTGTAACGCACCAAAAATGCACTGGAACGCACATGTCCCTATTTAAAGTTGAAGAAAAAGGGGGAAAAAATGAACTGGAACGCATCAAAAGCGCACCAAAAAACACGCATGCAGAAACACATCTGGACTGCATTTCTATAGTGTGAACGGCCCTGAATGGTATTCAACACAATGTTTGGGTTGATATAAAGTAGCTGTGGATTGTTGTTGTTTTTTTTTTTTTTTTCTTTGGTTTTATAAGATCTTTTGGCCTAATGCTGATTTATGTACACCTAGAACGCTGTGTTTGGACAGTACGCAGAAACAGGAAATAACCCCTTTTCTTTTGTTTGTCACATACATTTTAGGTAACATTTGACATGCTTGTCTATAATGTTAAGGTTGGTTGATAGCTACGCACTGGAGGAATGATCCTGATTTCAGGATGATTCAGGCCACAACACCTACTCATAACAGAAATAACTATTTTGTGGGTGGGTTCAACCTTAGGGGATTATTGTAATTGTGAAAATCTTGTAACAGTGGCAGTAATACTGTACATGGATTATCATCAGTTATTTTACTTGGAATATTTATTTTTTTATTTCACAGATTTTGGAACTTTTAATACAAAAGGATGGAGAGTTTCAGGAACTTATGAAGGTGGCATACAGTCAGGGCAAGATTCATCAAGAAATGCAGCTCCTGGAGAAGGAAGTTGAAAAAAGGGACAGTGATATCCAGCAACTACAGAAACAGCTGAAGGAGGCAGAACACATACTGGTAAGTGGCCTTTAATGTTCTCTATGTGACAGTTGCTGGTGTCGGTGTTATCTGTCCCATTCCTTGGGCCAAGATCTGTCTATGAAGCAGGACAGAGCAATCATAAAATGCTAGGTATTTGCAGAACATCACTTTGATTCCATATCCCAGTAAGATGTGTTTGTTCTTAGCACAGAACTGGTGTATATGAGGTATATACCACAACTGCCAGTGTATAGCACAGATAGTCAAATATTTTAGAACCAATATTTCAACACTGCATACAGCTTTTTTTAGGCTGCTTGACGATTATCTGTACTGTATGTTGGATCTATGTATTTTATGGAGTAGTGCTTGGGAACTAAAGAGACCCTATAGCCAGACAGGATACAGCGAAGTGAGATTAAAGGAACTGCCAACCTTTCTCTAAATCACTGCAAAGCACATTAGAACCTTTTTAAAACTGAAAACTTTTTCATGGCATTGCTTTCTCTCACAAGTCCAAAAATAGGAGGTTATTGCTTATTTTAGGATGATGGGGAAAGCCCTGTGATTTGTAGTTTAAAGCCTTGCCAACCTTGCATTTTGAACTAGTAATATATGGTACAGCTTAGTATTTTTTGATTAATACATGGTAATAAACTAAGCAAAGTGTAGTTCACTTGCAAAAAATGATGTGCATTATAAACCTGGCACTGTATGTTGTCTATCAAGGACAGTGTTGTTCCTTGTACTTCCCATAGGTTAAATTCTTCACTAAATGTGATTAATTGGATTGAATCAGTGTCTGTTCTTTGTAATTTAGTGTTTCACAACTTAAAGGGGAAAATAAAACGTCACAGGTCCGTATTACATATTTAACCCTTACGCTGCCACCAACATAAGGCATACTGCGGCACAGAACTGCTTCCAGCTAGCTTTGTCAGTATGCCTTATGTCAGCTGCCTTCCCCTTTTGCTATAAGCGCATGGTCATTTCAGAGACTGTGAACGTGTAGCCAAAGTGTCCCCAGACTCTTCTGAATAATTGCTGTAAACCCAACATGACTACGGCCTGTAACAGTTAGTGGCAGTCTGGCAGACCTTGTGGTGGAACACATACAGTGCTCAGAATAAAGGAGTACACCCCAACAGATATGTCAGAAAACCTTTACTTGCCTTTCAAAATCAACATTTTCTATGGGACACTACACTACAAAATACTCCCACAAATGAAGGCCATTGATTGCAAACAAGATTCGTTCATTTGCACTCAAAGTATTTTTCCTAACGAATTAATTCAAGACCATGTTGCAAAAATGAATACACCTCAAAGAAAGTCTTGGGAAAAAAGCTAAATTTTAGGCAACAAAATCCTAATTCACAAGAATACAATTACAGGTAAGTCTAACTATTCATTAAACAATTGTCCAGCAGACAGTTGATTTATAAAACCCTTCCCATTTCATGCTGTCAGCAATGGTACCACACACGGGAGGAAAAATGTCTGAGACCTGAGAAAGAAAATAGAGCACAGCCATCCAGAGCAGTGTGCTTACAGTAAAGTTTTTTTTTTTTTTTTTTTGTTTTTGTTTTTTTTTTCACTGATCACTGTATTGGTGTCACTGGTGATGTCAGTGACACCAATTCAGTTCCCCCCACTGTCAGAATGCCCGCCGCAGTCCCACCATAAGTCGCTGATCGCTGCCATTTCTAGTCGAAAGGACAAAAAATTCTAGTATCTGTACCGCCATTTGTAAACTCTATAACTTTCACGTAAACCAATTAAGCCAATTTTTTGGGCCTAACCCTCAACATGGGCATTACTAAAAAAAAAAATGAATGAATTGCAGTTGTATTGGTCCACAGACTCGATGCATCATATGCCCGTGTTCTCTGCTGCCATGGCCAGGCATAGAGTATAATGTGTTTTTATGCATTTCAACGGCAATACACTGTCGTCCTTGGGGTGACCCTGAATTTGACCAGCTCCATAAAATTCGGTCCCTCATAAATTACCTTAACCAAAATTTGCAGATGTCTATACTCCCCAGCAAAACTTCTGTGTTGATTATTTTTTCTGGCCTCCTTGCATTCAAACAATTTCTCTCCAGCAAGAGTGCCAGATATAAGACCTGTGAGAGGGCAACAGACTATACATATAAGTTTTGGATTTATGAGGGAAAAGAACCCTCCGTGGAGCCCCCCCCGGATGGCCAGACTACCTGGGGAGCAGTGGCAAGATAGTTTGGGACTTGGTGTCAACCTTTTTCCATATGGGGTATCACTTATGTGTGGACAATTTTTTATCAAGTGTGCCACTACATCTGCAGGCATCATCTTATTGTTTTTTTGAGCCGGCGATCGGTTTTACATGTAAAAGCAATCCTAGTGGCTAATTAGCTGCAGGATTGCTTTTGCAAGCAGCAGGAGAACATGCCCCCCCCCCCCCCACGCTGCCTTCCGCGGCCTTCTTGGGCAGTCCCTTGCCATCGGGGGAACCTGAGAATGCAGCTGGTGTTTCTGCCAGCTGACCATAGAGCTGATTGGAGACCAAAATGGTGCCCATCATCTCTATAGTCATAGCATTTCATCACTTCAGTTTCGCAGGATATAAACAGTGCCATTTGTAAATTGAGAAAGCATCTGATCACACCGATATCTTGGTGAGATTAGATAATGTAAGGGCAGAGGAGATATCTAGAGTCTGCTAGATCGCAGATTTCTCAAAAAAGCCCATTGAAGTTATCGGGGATATTTGCATTCCCTGTGATAGCAAAGTACCCTCGCGCCGCCCGTACCTGTGTGCGCAAGCGTTGACCCTGCCCCGATATGTAAACAAAGCGGTTGCACCATGTGAGGTATTGCCGCAAACGTCCGATCAAGGGCAGAAATTCTAGCACTAGACGACCTCTGTAAATCTAAAATGATAGCTTGTAAATGCTTTTAAATCGTTGGATAATAAAACTATGCAGTTTGTCACTATTGCAGGGGGCATGCACAGTTTTAAAGCATGTCATGTTTGGTCTCCATTTACTCTGCATACCATCGTTTTGTTATATTTTACCAAATAATTGGCCAATATATTGTGTTTTTGTTCGTTAAAAGTAAAAAAAAAAAGTGTATTTTTTAAAAAAAATTTGCATTTGAAAAATTGCTGCGCGAGTACTATGTGACATAAAAAATTGCAGCACCCACCATTTAATTCACTAAGGTGTCTGCTTTAAAAAAAATATATATAATGTTTGGGGGTTCAAAATTTGTTCACATGACAAAAATAATCTGTATGTTTTGCTAAAAAATTCAAGTGTTAGAAAAGGCTTGGTCTTCAGGTGGTTAGAAGAGTGAATCATGTGTGGCATAAACTTCTAATGCTGGGCATAACATGCCCCCATCCCCCAAAACGACCCCTTTTTGGAACATGGACACCCCACTCTATTTGTTGAGTCAATAAAAAATTTGTCATTTTTTCCCAAAACTTTTGGTAAAAATAAATTTCTTTTTTTTTTTTTTTTTTTTTTCACACAATTTTCAATTTAAATCATTTATTGCTCACACGTGCCATGGGTATATGTGGAATTACTCCCCAAAACACATTCTGATACTTCTCCCGGGCATGGGGGTACCACATGTGAGAGACTTTTTGGGAGCCTAGCCACATACAGGACCTCAAAATCCAGTGACCACTTTGGAAGTCTGAAGGCGCGTAACTTCCTCATTTCACTTCCTCGCTACCTATGACAGGTAGTGAGGAAGTGAATGAATGGTCAGAAACATTAGAACATCATGATTTAGCAACTCTTCTAGTTTAATTTGAAATGCACTAAAGACGTTTTCTTTTTTTACCAGGCCACAGCGGTATACCAAGCAAAAGAAAAGCTGAAATCAATAGACAAAGCAAGAAAAGGTTAGTGTGCTTGTTTTTTGTTTTTTTTAAAAAGTTTCGAAATAATTTATTCAATTTTTTTCTTGGTTAACTTCTTCCACTTTGATAAAGTTTCCATTCTAAAGACACCTACTGCAAAAAAAAATGTCTGATAATCATATGTACTATACAGTATGCATATAATGTTGGTTTAAATAACATGTTCATTATTTTTGCTGCATTAAGCTGTGTACACTTGAGGCTTCAGTTTGTGTTTGTATTTGTATTAGAGCATCTACAGCAAGCTTTTACAAAGCTTCACAAATAGTTTAACACTCTTTATACACCCTCCATTTCAGGGCTGTCATCCATAGGGAGTGCTGTTTTTCTCTTTTGCAAAAACTGCTCACACAGGTTGCTTACAAGTTCAGGTTGGGCTGAAGCTTTCTGAAAGCCTTCTGAGAACTGCTAGCAGCTTCTTTAAAGTGACAGGCAGCACTGGAGATAAAGGGTGCTCTAAACTCTTTCTATATTCCAAAAAAATAGAAAAACTGCTCAAGGCAATCTGAAGGCTTTGCAAATGCTTTCTAAAAGTTTGCTGTGCACAATAATGTAATCTAAATCCCATTTATTTTTATGTATGCAGGTCAAGCTTTCCAACAAAATTTTTAGAGGGGTGGGTACAAGCTACATTGTTACCAAGGGGACTTAAAGTGATTCTAAAGGTTCACTTTTTTTTTTGTGTAAAATAATAAACATTTCTATAGTCACCTACTGTGTATAGTGGTTGTGCACAGAGCAGCCTGGATCCTGCTCTTCTCGGGTCCCCCGCAGGCTTTCTTGACTCCTCCTGTCTGTCGGGTGCCCCCACAGCAAGCTGCTTGCTATAGGGGCACCCGCTGCTCCGTGTGGCCATTCACACACAGAACCGTGGCTTGGCCCTGCTACCTCTCTCCTCATTGGCTGACTGGCTGTGATTGACAGCAGGGGGAGCCAATGGCTGTCTCAGCCAATGAGGAGGCAGAGACCCGGGACAGCCAAGCCTGTCATTCATATCGCTGGATCGCGATGAGACTTGGGTAAGTATTGAGGGGGCTGGGGCAGCTGCTGCACACAGAAGGTTTTTTTCCTTTTTTTTTTTTTTTTTATTCTGATGTTAGTTTGCCCTAGCCCTGTCACTGTTGCGAGACACATTGGAAAAATGCAAAAGATTGCAAATAAAGGCATGTGAAATAAAAGGAAATCGTCATTAAATATTATTACTTGCATTAAAGTGGTAGTAAACTTTTTTTTTTTTTTTTTTTTATAAAGCTTACCTGTAGGTAAAATTATTATTATTATTCAGTATTTATATAGCGCTAAAAGGTTTGCTCAGCGCTGTACATTATAGTAAGGGACAGAACATGAGACAATAGAGTAACAAAACAAAACGCGAGGGGGTCAAGGGCCCTGCTCTTTCGAGCTTACAATCTAGGGGAGGGGATAGTGGTACAGCAGGAAATGGCTGTGGAGGATGGAGTGGTAGGAGGAGTGGAGGAGATCGGCTGTTAGGTGAGGGCGGGGTAGGCTTCCCTGAAGAGATGGGTTTTCAGGGTGCGCCTAAAGGTGAGGAGGGTAGGTGACAGTCTGATGGATTGGGGTAGTGAGTTCCAGAGGATGGGGGAAGTCCTGCAGTCGGGAGTGGGAGTTGGAGACCAGGGAGCTAGAAAAGAGGAGGTCTTGTGAGGAGCGAAGAGTACGGGTTGGGTGATATTTGGGTATCAGGTCGGTGAGGTAGTTTGGGACAGCATTATGAATGGCTTTGTATGTCTGTGTTAGTAGTTTGAATTTAATGCGTTGGGCAATCGGGAGCCAGTGGAGGGAATGACAGAGGGGGGTGGCAGAAGCAGTGCCGTTGGTAAAGTGGATGAGTCTGGCCGCTGAGTTCAGGATAGACTGAAGCCTGGATAGCCTGTGTTGGGGTAGGCCAGTGAGAAGGGAGTTGCTGTAGTCCAGGCGTGAGAAAATAAGGGAGTGAACGAGTTGTTTAGTAGTGTCTGGGGTTAGGAACGTACGTATTTTGGAGAAGTTGCGGAGGTGGAGCCTGCATGAGTTTGCCAACGATTGGACATGGGGTTGGAAGGACAGGTTTGAGTCTAGAGTGACACCTAGGACTTTGGCATGCGGGGTGGGACTGATGGTGGCGTTGTTGGTCGTGATTGAGTGGGTGGTGGGGGGCGCAGGCTGGGGGCAAAATCAGGAGCTCGGTTTTGGAAAGGTTCAATTTGAGGAAATGGAGCGACATCCAGTCTGATATGTTGTTCAGTAGGTGGGTGATATGGGCCGAGACTGAAGGGGTGAGGCGAGGGGTGGAGAGGTAAATTTGCGTATCATCGGCGTAGAGGTGATAGTTGAAGCCGTGGGAATGTATCAGTTTGCCGAGGAGGAGGTGTAGATGGAGAAGAGAAGGGGCCTGAGGACAGAGCCTTGGGGGACCCCAACAGAGAGAGGGGGAGGTGGTAGCGTTATAGGTAACGCTGAAGGAGCGTTGGGATAGATAGGAGAGCCAGGAGAGAGCAGAGTCTCTGATGCCGAGGGAGTGTAGTTTATTAAGGAGGAGGGGGTGGTCAACTGTGTGGAAGGCCGCGGAAAGGTCGAGGAGTAAGAGGAATATGAATGAATATCTTCTAAACATGCACTGTTTAGGAGATAGGTCCATATATATATTTGGACAAAGGCACAATTTTAGTTTTTTTTTTTCAGGTATTTATCAAAACATATGCAGGCTATAGTCATATAATGGATATGGGCTGAAAGTGCATACTCTTAGGTTTAATTTGAGGGCATGTACATCCAAATTGGAGGAAGGGTTTAGGAATTACAGCTCTTAAGAGTAGCTATCCCTCCTTTTTTCAAGGGACCAAAAGTAACTGGACAATTGAATCAAAAGCTGTTTCATGACCTGGTGTGGGCTACTTCTTTGTTATTCATCAATTAAGCAGGTAAAAGGTCTGGAGTTGATTCTAAGTGTGGTATTTTCAATCTATTGCTGTGAACCTACATCATGTGTTCAAAGGAGCTGTCCATGCAAGTGAAACATGCCATTGTATGGCTTCAAATATTAAACCAATTAATCAGCGAGATAGCAGCAACATTAGGGAGTGGCCAAATCAACAGTTTGGTACATTCGGGGGAAAGAAGAATGCACTGGTGAGCTCAGCAACATAAAAAGGCATGGGCATCCACAGAAGACAACAGTGGTGGATGATCGCAGGATCCTCTCTATGGTAATGAAAAAAAAAAAAATCAAATTCACAAGATCCAGACAAGTGAAGGATACTCTCCAGGAGGGCGGGCGTATCATCGTCAGAAGACTTCACGAGAGCAAATACTGAGGGTTCACCACAATGTGCAAACCATTCATAAGCCTGAAGAATAGAAAAGCCAGATTAGACTTTTCCACAAAACATCTAAAAAGCCAGACCAGTTCAGGAAAAGCATTGTTTGGACGAATGAAACTAAGATTAATCTGTACCAAAATGACAGGAAGAAATAAGTGTGGAGAAGGCTTGGAACAGCTCATGATCCAAAGCACACAACATCATCTGTAAAACATGGTGGATGCAGTGTGATGGCATGGGCATGCATGGTTTCCACTGGCACTGGGTCATTGGTGTTTAATGATGATGCGACAGAAGAGAAAAGCATCCGGATTACTTCAGTGTTTAGAGAGATACTGTCCGCCCAGATTCAGCCAAATGCAGAAAAGTTGATTGGACGGCGCTTCACAGTACAGATGGACAATGATCCAAAACACACTGCAAAAGCAACCCAGGAGCTTTTGAAGGAAAAGAAGTGGAATATTCTGCAATGGCCAAGTCAATCGCCCGATCTCAACCCAATTGAGCATTCATTTCACTTGCTGAACGTAAAACTAAAGGCAGAAAGACCCACAAACAAAGAACAACTGAAGACAGCTGCAGTTAGTCTGGCAAAGCAAAAGGAAGGAGGACACCCAGTCTTTGGTAATGTCCATGGGTTCCAGACTTCAGGCAGTCATTGCCAGTAAAGGATTTTCAACAAAATAGTAAAAATTAACATTTTATTTATAATTATATTAATTTGTCCAATTACATTTGGTCCTTTGAAAAAGGGGGGGTGGATACTCCTTAAGAGCTGTAATTCCTAAACCTTTCCTCCAATTTGGATGTACATACCCTCAAATTAAACCTGAGAGTGTGCACATTCAGCCCATATCCATTATATAACTATACCTTGAATATATTTTGGCAGATACCTGAAAAAAACTAAAATTGTGCCTGTGTCTAAATAAATATATATACATATGGACCTAGCTGTATTCACTCATTTTGAGAGCTGGCGCTTGCGTTCTGAAGGGACAGCATACCTGTGCTGTTCCTTCAGAGCACTGTGCCATGGCCTGGGACTTCCGCACACATGCGCTGGAGTGACATCATTATGGCCTGGCCAGTCAGACAGCCGAAGCATGCGAACCTGGAAGGAAGACCGGGTGAAGATGGAAGCCTCTGCAGAGGTAATAGCGTGCCTCTGGAGGGCTTTGTTTTAAGGAAAGTCCTTCGTAATGTGCTAGTATGTGATGCATTATGATATAACCTTGCAGGTGATTTATTTATTTTATTTATTAAAGCTGTGGTTTACTGCCCTTTAACTTCATATGGTTTCAGAATACAGCAATTTCAGCATTCGTTAATAGCTCTTTAAATTGGCGCAGGCTTGAAACAAATAGCAGTACCTGTAATGGCCTATTCAATGCTGACTACGTATACTTATAATTTTTTTTTTTTTTTTTTTTCTAATTTTACAAAGTGGTGCACTCAAGAGGGACTAGCTCATGGGTATATAGACTGGTATTCCCATAGCAATAGGATAGAGAGAACAATGCTTTCCTTGCTATGGTACTGCCCACACAAACAACATGAGCCTGTTGTCTATGAGCACCAGAGTCCAATAAAGTGATGTTGGTGGCGTTTATTTGCCCCCTGCCCTGTGATGTTTATCTGTTAAAATAAAGTGGAAGCCTAACTAATCTAAAAAAATGTAACCTCCCCCTCCTACCTATCCTGCCTAACCTGTATAAAAAAAGATGTGTGTACTCGCCTATCTTTAAATCCCTCCAGTCTGGTCATGTGATTCCCAAAGGTCCGGCTCACCTATGTCAGTGACTGGCTGCTGCAGGGAGGAGGAGGGAGAAAGGATAGTGGCTGGGCTTTTGGTAGCCTATGAATAACATCACTGCTCCCCAGGAATTCCCAGCCGTTGTCAAGGTTCCCTGAGCTGGATCATGTGTCCAAACCAGAGCAAATTAAAATGCCTTATTACACAAGCTTTCTTTTTTTTCCTATATAAATGTTAGGCAGGGTAGGTAAAAGGAGAGAGGAGGGGAACATTTTTTAAGAATAGTTAGACTTAGGTTTTTCTTTATTCCACTTTAAGGCTCCATGTGCACTAGCTTAAAAAAAACTAGCAGCAGATTTTGAGCTTTCTTCTTCTTGTTCTTCCCTTTTTTTTTTTTTTTTTTTTTTTTTTTTTTTTCCAGCTTTTAGGAGCAGAAAAATGAAATTTTTTTTTTGCATTTCTGGGAATGATTTGCAGCAGAAATAAAAAGCTGAATGCTCCTAACTGCTGCTAAAAGCTGGCACAAAAACTTTATTATAGGCATTTTTCATCCAGCATTTTTTAGCTTATACTGTACATAGAGCCAAAAAGCAGTTACACAAGACATCTAAATTTGAAAATAAACCTGTAACAGGCAAAAATAATAAGTGGTGTTCTCAATTAGAAACCAAAAAAAAACAATGATAAGAAAAAAGAAATTGTAAGCTGAATATATGAACCAGAAGCTCTGTTGTAATCGCACTCTTATAAAGGTTTTGACTGTTTTTATGATGCTTAGCAGACCAAAGTCTGACAATGCATATTCTGGCATTATCGCTCCTGATCACAGTTTAAACTGGAGAGCTGTGGGGACTGGAACTTCTCCTTGTTTAGAAGACTAAAAAATTAAGATTAAGTGACTATTTCATTTAACCACTTGCCTACTGGGTACTTTTACCCTTTTCTGCCAAGGCCAAACAAAATTTTTTTTATTTTTTTGAGACCAAGCTTTCTTTTGGTGGTATTTATTCACCACTGGGGTTTTTATTTTTTGCTAAACAAACTTAAAAATCCTTAAAATTTTGAAGAAAAAAAAAAATTCTTGGTTTCTGTTATAAAATATTGTAAATAAGTAATTTTTCTCCACTGATGTGCGCTAATGAGGCTGCGGTGATGGGCACTGATAGGGGACACTGGGCATAGGTATCACTGGTGGACATTGACAGGTATACAAATTTTTGCCCAAGACTTATGATTTTTTATTTAAGCCAGCATACTAACACTTTTTGTACATATTGTGTTAAAAAAAAAATAAAAAAAATAATACATCTTACCGTTTGTTCACGTGTCTTTCAGGTGCCATCTCGTCTGAGGAACTGATTAAATATGCCCATCGGATTAGTGCAAGCAATGCAGTGTGTGCTCCACCAACGTGGGTTCCAGGTAAGAATTTTGTTTTTAATTGTACATATCCTTGTGTTTTAAAATCAGCTGGGGCACACAACATTATTGCCAGCAAGAGATATCATGGCAATAACCAGAAATACTACAGCAGGAATGAAGTGCAGACACCTTGACCATACCTGCAGTAGCCTCTTAGAATAATCCCCAGCCATTCTGACAGGCAAAGCCTCCCCAACTCATTTCTATTGGCCCATTATTATGACAATAGGAATGTCAGGTTGCATGACGAAGCAGGTGAGCTTCCTCATGATCAGGAGGTATCCAAGTTTTGCCTGCCAAAATGACTTTGGATTCTGCTGTTACAGTGGGATTTTTGGAGGTTTCTCTTTAGGTGCCTGCACTTTTTTATTTATGTTTTTTACAATGTTCTTTTAAAAGTTAATTGGTTGCAGGCCTGAAAAACCTACACTTGGCATATGGTAGGGAGAAAAAAAAAAAAATAATTCCCACCTTCTGAGTCGTCTTATTGTTCTATGATGTCTTCCATTCTATTAAAGGGCAATGGGGAGATGGGTAGAGCAGGCCCTAAGCACAGGTTTTAGAGGAGATTTTGAGATTTGCGTATACAGTTATGTGTAACTCTTGATCTGCATTTTTTAACATCTAGTTTTCACTAAAAGCAACCTGCTTCTTATACATTTAGATTACCAAAGTTACTATTACTTAAGCAATGTGAGTACATCTGATGATGATTTAAACCTGCCTGTGCTTGGCATAAGATGTATTGATTTTGTGTTGACCTGAATTATGCTTTCAGTGTAACTGCACTAAACATACTCGTATGTATATTTCTTCATTGAAGGGGATCCACGTCGCCCTTACCCTACAGATCTGGAAATGCGGAGTGGATTATTGGGTCAGATGAGTAACCTACCTACAAATGGTGTTAATGGGCATTTGCCTGGGGATGCACTGGCAGCAGGGAGACTTCCAGGTAAATTGAAGTTAACCATTTTCCCAGCTTAGTAACATAAATGTTGGGGGATAAAATCCATTTAATCCTAACACTTAAAAAAAACAGTAAAGGAGCTTTTTTTGTTTTCTTACCTGAGCATTATAGAGAAAACCGATCTGTCTGTTTAGTACATTACTTTGATGCTAAAGGGGATTAGCTTGCTAGGTTTGTAAATGTACATATCTTTTGCTTTCAGCATGTTTTCTTTTGTTTTTAAAGGTGTTTTTTGTCTTTTTTTTTTTTTTTTTGTTACTGTTTTATTTTGGTATTTCAAATTACGATTAGGATTTACGACTTTTACTAAAAGTTCGACATTATGAGGGAAAAACCTATTCCCTTTAGTGACTTTTTTAAGCTTTTCCAGCCTGGTTATTTGTTTTTTTTTTTTTTTTTATAATACACTAATTGGACCACATTTCTAGCAAATGTAAAACCTTTTATTCTTACCAAAAGATTTTATTTATAACAGTATTCATGACAACATAAGAAAACACTTGTCAAAATAGAAATATGTGAGCTGTCATTGCCAACTTAAAATTGTAAAGTGCAAGTTCCAGGACTGCGATTCTCTGTTGATTTCAATACTTATCTGCTGACTAGGAACTGGTATGTAGCCAATTAACTTGGGATTCCTGAGTGGCATACTTGTTTCTATTCAGTAGGGCAAGGATGACAGCCCCTGAACTCATCCTTTAAAAAAAAAAAAAAAAAAGGAAGTAAGCAGTGGCACAGCTCTTATATTCTCATTGGACAGGTTCTGTTTAATCTAGTTTGATAAATGATTTGTTTGCTTGGTCTTCCCAGATGTTCTGGCTCCCCAGTACCCATGGCAGTCGAATGACATGTCGATGAACATGTTGCCTCCAAATCACAGCAATGACTTCTTAATGGAATCTCTGGGGCCCAACAAAGAGAATGAAGATGATGTTGAAGTGATGTCTACAGATTCCTCCAGTAGCAGCAGTGACTCCGACTAAGCTAAATACAAAATGCAGACTTTACTCACTGTTGGGAAACACATACATCCTGGATCTTCTATTAATAGAAAGTGAACTTTTTTCCTGCCTGCTCCACCTTTTCAGTCCAATGAAGTGGGACATTTTGTATTTTACTACATTATGTTCTAGTGGAATTTGTAATTTTTGTATACATAAGGGTCTGTATTTTTGTGGTGTTAATTTTTTGGCCCATTATTTGCCATTTATATTTCCATAAATGGTTTTGTTACCTGCTATTATTCTGTTGCAAGAACAAGTTGGCACCACTGTTGTATATAAGTTCATGTGCATACCTGTATGTATATAGGTCTGTGTTTACACATGGTGGTATGCTTGTATATGCTAAAGTGTACATACTGACAATGTGACATTTCTAAATATAGATTTTTGTAATGTAAATTTGAATGCTGTTGTATGTACTTTATACATATTGCTTTATATTTTGTAAAATGTACAGGAAGTATTTAACCTTTGGCTACCTACAGGAGAACTGGTCAATGGTTAAAAAGGAAAAAAAAAATGGCCTGGTCAAAATAACCCCCACACTACCTGCATGTCTCAGGTGTGTGTCTTTTCTACAGCTCTTATGTAAACACTCATCCTTTTCCCAGAATTTTTTTTTCTTTCATGTCCTTTTTTTTTTCTCTAATATAAGTAATAAAATTAAATAATGAACATTTCCAGTGGGTTCACAATACAGGTAGTTGATGCACCATAAGAAACTGCTCATGTGATTTCTAACCTTATTTTCACTTTATATAGACTACTCAGGAAAGACATATCGTACCTTAACCCACAAATTTACAATGTGACACATTGGAGTTGATTTACAAAAACTGGAGAGTGCAAAATCTAGTGCAGCTGTGCATGATAGCCAATCAGTTTCTAACTTCAGCTTGTTCAATTAAGCTTTAACAAAAAAAACTGGATACTGGTTTCTATGCAAAGCTGCACCAGATTTTGCACTCTCTGCTTTTAGTAAATTTTTTTTTTTTTTTGGTCTGATCAAGACTCTTCTTTACACCACTGATGGAGCTTTGTCTTAGATTTCAGCTTTGAGACATGGTTGTTCCCAGCCTGGCTTTTTGGAGTACTACATCTGCACCTGCCTAGGTGTGTAGGGATAGCTGGGAAGTGACCTCCAGGTGCTGGGTTACTCATAGTCTGCTTTCCAGATTATGTTCTGGTAAATGTTAGCTGTACAGTGCTTTCCAGGTCCAGTCATTGGGACAGCCACAGCAGTTGCACTGTCTGAAGACTTGCTTGCTGACTCATTTTTGTTTTAATTTCTATGACCCTATTGGAGAAACCCATCCAACCCCCCCCCCCCCCGCCTTCCCTCTTACAAAAATGTATATGTGCCTCCAAGAATTCCCATCATTTTCTGCTCTGAAAAAAAAAGAAAACTGTCTGGGACTCTAACCCTGCATTATTTTCAGTGCAAAATAAAATTAGTTTGGCCTAGAGTTAGGCTTTAAGTACCCTAAAGCTGCATTCACAGTTGAGTGTTTTGTAGCTTGAAGCTGCAAAAACGCTGAAACTTTAAAAAAAAAAAAAAAAAATCAACTGTTCTCTATGGTGCCTGTTCGCACGATCAGGTGTGAACAGGCACCATAGAGACCAACTGATTTTTTTTAAGTTTGAGCTTTTTTGGAGCTTTGCGCTTCAAGCTACAAAACGCTCAAGTGTGAATGCAGCCTAAAGCAGTTTGATAATAGATCAGGATTTTGCATTCTATGTGTATTCTTGGCTGTATTATGCAGCTGACCATATACCCACCCCCCAGAACCATAAAATGCCAGTTGGTAATATTTAGCTGCATGTTCTGCAAGGTTGCCCATCAATACTGAGGCACTGTATATATCTTTTGGTATGTTTTGATGTAAACCGGTCCAATTTTGTTTCAATAAGTGTTACCTTTTCTATGAATAAGGACCTCTATTTCATAAAATGTCTTTCTGTATGGGTGATATAACATACTTCAGTTATCCTACTAAGCGCTGTTCTTCACAAGGACTAATCATTTGTATTCTTTACTCCCACATGTCAGTTGCTCATTTTTCTGCTCTTTTTATAGTGAATGGCTAAAAGTACACAACCTCCTCTGCACAGGAAAAGAAGGCACAGGTTGCTGAATTATGTATTGTATCTAGGAATAGGGAGTAATCTGAAATCTAAAGTTAACATTCATTTACACTTTAGCAGATGTCTATTCTGATGCATGTAGCAAATGAACACAATCCGCTTACTATCATGGCCAATATGCTCACTTGTTTCTATAAATATTTGGCCTTGTTAAGACTATAGTAGAGTGGGTTTATAGAAAAAAATATTGCTGTATTGATGTGAAATAGCAAATACTATGGGATCGGTCAGAGAAAACCAAACTACACAATTGCAATCTAAACATGTAAAGTGAAAAATGTGTGCTTTTTTTTTTAAGTTGAAATACAAAATGTTTCATAACATTTTGGGCTTATAGCAGGAAATTGACCTGTCTGTAAGATTAGGCTACTAATAGAAGTCATCAAGTCACTGCCTATGATGCATTTCTTTGCAGAAGTAAATCCTCTCCATGCACAAAAATTCATACTTGAAATTTGCCATTATCTGTAGGGACTGGATTTGTATTACATAGGGCAGGCACTGAGTCAGCTTTAGATTTCAGTCGGAACAAGAAAAACCAAGCAATCAGACTGATAACATGTTCATATGCTGAATCATTTAATTAAAGGTGTAGGCCGTCTTTAAAAAAAAAAAATTAAACCGGTCTGACATATTTACTACTCGTAAAGCCTAGCTCCACGGTTTAGAGAGCTTTAAATAGTTTGGAAAAGCCATTCAGTGGAAACTGTATTCATTCAGAAAATGCAAAAGTTCCTGTGAATGGTTGAGCAGCGCTCAGCCCAACTTGGTTTTGTTCCAAGAGCTGCCAGAAGCTAGAGCTGTATACTGTATGTAGCTGAGCCTACATACAGTGCTGTCAGCTACTACTTGTGTTGGTGAAGGAAATGGTTCATTTGGCCCAGCTGAATTATTTAAAGTTCACAAAAACATGGGCTTTCAGTCTCTTTCACATGAACTTAGAAATGCTGGAAAACAAGTGCTTAGCTGTGTTTTTAACAGGGTCGTAGCACCTACTAATGCACTAAAACAATGGCAAGTGCATGTGACCATATATACGGTGAATTAGCATTGCTTAATTTGTGTCTAGAATATTAGGGCATGTTGCATCCTCTGGGCTTTGCCACAGCCTGCCACATGCCTTCAATTCCACTGCAATGTGCCTATAGCATTTTTGAAGTGTTTGCTTCCCTTGCGGTGGTATTAGGCACTGTTTATGAAGGGGGTTGTAAACCCTTACATATACTCAGTGAAGTAACTGGTCCCAGGTTAGAGCTTATTCACAGTCTTCTCTACAGCAATGCAAAGTCCAGCATTTATAAAGCTTGTATGAGCTTTCAGAAAATGGGGCAGCAAGGTAAAATTACACTCTGAAGTTCTCAGCGATTGGAGGGAAGGCACATACCCCCTTCAACACAGCTCTCAGGAACAGAGCTGAGGCTTTCAATTACAGACTTTTTGCTGGCTGGAGATCCCTTCCTGACACCTTTTTTCCTTTGGTGTCAGAAAAACTTGTCAAGAGATTTATTCTGAAAGCAGAGGAACGAAGCAGCAGGGAAAAATGACACTTGGGGGTTGATTTACTAAAACTGGAAAGTGCAAAATCTGGTGCATCTGTTCATAATAACCAATCAGCTTCTAAATTCAGCTTGTTCACTTAAGCGTTGAGAAAACCTCAAATCCCCCTACATAACTTGTACCTAAAATAAAAATGCAGTGCTAAAAACATCAGAAAACTAAAATATTAATCATATATTAGCACATGTAAGTGAGCGCTATTGGTGGTGCAAATTGGGTGAAGTGATGATGGTCGTCTGAAAATGACGCATGAACGTGCTATAAAACAATTCTTGAAGTGACAATGGTGGTAAGTATAACAGAATATGACAGTCTATGATACGTGGTAATCTGTGCTGGTAGCCACTGGTGTCAAGATCCAATAAAATTATGCACTTACCAGAAGTACATATAATATTCGCATTATATGTATATCATTATCATGGCGACATCTAGGTCTGGTCTAAACGGTATGGGGTCATCAAGATCAGAAGTGGACGCTCAGCTCCAAACAATGGCTCCAAAATCCGGGATGGCTCCACCTTATGGGGCTCATAATAATCAAGCCAGAGGACAAGAAAGCACTAACAGTGTAGTATGTTTATTATATTTAATATAAAGACAGTCCAAGTATAAAATGACTCGTGAAGAAATGGCCGCTGGCTTTCCTCGTGGGCTGATGAGGCTAGGCGTCGTTCCGGTAGGCTCCTCTGACGCGTTCCGTGCTGGTGCATTGTCACTTCAAGAATTGTTTTATAGCACTTTCATGCGTCATTTTCAAACGCCGTCATCACTTCACCCATATTGCGCCACCAATAGCGCTCACTTATAATATGTGCTAATATATGATTAATAATATTTTAGTTGTCTGATGTTTTTAGCGCTGCATATTTATTTTAGTTTGTCATTTTAAGGTTTTTTGAGGTTTTACCTATATATGCTAGCTGCTTATGTTTATGTCACTGCACTCACAATAAACCCATTCTATACTGTACATAACTTGTACCTGTTTATCTGCAGTGTCTCTTCTTTACATCTGTTCAATGTGCTGCATTTATAAATCTTGTCTGGGAATTCAGAAAAAATGGGGTGGAGAGCTGAAACTACACTCTGCAGAGCTCAGTGAGGCGAGCCGATTGGAGGGAAGAGACATCCTCCTGCCTCCACACAGCTCACAGAAGCAGCTGAGGCTGTCAATCTGCTGAAGGTCCCTCCCCTGCCACTATTTTTCGCTTGGTGTCAGGAAAACCTGTCAGACGTGACTCATGCAGATAGCAGAGGAAAGAAGCAGCAGATATAAATGACACTTAGTGCTTTGGATTGAGACAAGTACACATTATAGAGGGATATGTTTTGCTCATATTTCATGTCTGAGGTTTATAACCACTTGCCAACCCCGGTAAAGCTGAATGACGGCTACAGCGCAGTTGTCCAGTCCTGGGAGGGCATCATATAACGTCCTCCCAGAACGCACCCTCCCACGTGCTGCCGGGGTGTGCACCTGGCGATCTCCCAGACACTGCTAATCATGGGATGTGGTAAAAGGCCAATCACAGCAGTCTTTTACCACATGATCAGCTATGGCCAATGACACAGCAGATAACCGGCAATTGTCAGAGGACGGATTGGCACAGATCAGCAGGGCATTGATGATCAGTGCCACCCACCAGTGCTGCCCAGAAGTGCCCAACATTGTCACCTATCAGTGCCCATCATTGTTGCATTTCAGTGCCACCTAGCAGTGCCTATCAGTGCTGCCTCATCAACGCACATCAGTGAAGGAGAAAAATTACCTGTTTGCTAAATTTTATAATAGAAACAAAGAAAAACTTTTTTTTTTACATTTTTAGCTTTTTTTTTTAGTGCAAAAAATAAAACACCCAGTGGTGATTAAATGCCACCAAAAAAGCTCTATTTATGTGAAAAAAATTATTATAAAAACTTTCATATGGGTACAGTGTTGCATGACCGTGCAATTGTCATTCAGAGTGCGACAGCGCTGAACATTGGCCTGTGCAGGACGGCGGTATAAGTGCCTGGTAGGCAAGTGTTTAAAGCACCATAATGTGTGTGAAATTCAGGTTAACACGATAACCAAATTAACAAGCAGTTTTGTCACATCCCTTAAGCTCAAATGTCCAAAACAGGTGTAGCTCTCCACCATCAACCTAACCACACCTCATAACATTGTAGAGGGGTGGAGTGCAACACTTGTTGTGGACAAATTATTTTAGGTTTGATGGTGGGAATCATTTGTAGTTCTGGCATGCTGAGTTTTAGGTTCCCCTATGGTGCACAAATGTTTATATATGTTATCTCTAAGCTTGAAGAAGAAACAGCCAGATTACTGATTTGTGTACAGAGCCCTGTGTGTTTGTAAACAAAGGACTCTGTGCTGTGATTGGATACAGCTGATCAGCAGGTCTCAGCCATAAATTATTGTCCAGAAACTGCTGACAAAATCCTGCTACAGCCAGTGACAGGGTGGGTTAGCAGGGGGTGTGCGTATACACACCCCTAACCTGGAATAGGCAGGATGACATACAGTACATTTACATGATTCAGCCTGCCTGTGCATTGCACACGCAGTAAATGTACTGTTGGCAGGCAGGAAGTAGTTCATAATTATGCTACCAAAATTAGTGTGCGCTGCCTCCAGCATTGTTCCTGTTTCTAGTTGCCAGGGGCTCCCATTTTGCTGAACCCCAGAGCCCCTGAGAAGCAGTAAATCTTAAGGCTGTCAGCAGATCTGATTTTTGGCACAGTGTTGAAAAAGAGAACTGAGCATGTGCACAGCAGGGTGAGACAACTGGATTTTAAACAGCATAGGCACTTATTTTTAATGTTATACAAAGCCACACCTGCAAAAGGGTCAGCTTGAAGAGATCCAGCAGGACATAATTTTCTGACTAAAGCTCCACTTTAATAAAACATTAATTGGATGAATGTCACAATCATTGGTCCAGACTGCAGAACTTTTCCATCTAGTTTCTCTAATAGTATGGCTTCCTATGATCATCAGCCTCATTTAATGGCCAAAATGCCGAATATTGGATTGAGATACTTCAGAAAAACTGCTGCAATGCTGCATTTTGGCCACTAGCTTGAGCTGACACACCTAGGATGTCATAGTAAAAGATACAAAAACAGGAACAATGTGTGCAGCCTGGATGAATGCTTGTGTCATTCGCCCAACTAAAGTGTTACAAATATATCCCTAAGCCTTCTATTACAGATTTATAAAGTGCAACAAAACCTCTAAACTGTGTGCATGACAAACATTACTGTCTACTGTGTAAAATGTCATTGGTGGAGTCAGTGCTGGAACCGTTTCCACAGTTTGTAATTTAAAACACACAAAGCATTGAGTTAGAAAAAAGAAATATAACCCTCAGCTAGTTAAGCTACAAGTGACTATATCTGGAAGTTACGTTGAAAACACAGAAGGTAAATACTGTATCTTGCCATATCAAAGCACCCTAAAGAAAATGCACAGTAAACATATTTTCTGCTGTAAAATCTCTTGTCGTCCAGGGTCATCTCTGGGCTGGGTATAGATGATTAAAATCTTCTGTGAAGGGATTATAGCCTTGCTGTCTTAAACAGCACAAAGCCCAGAACAGCTGGTCATTTGGAGGAAACTCTTCCCACTTAACCCAATTCCAGCCTACAATATAAAAAAAAAAACAAAAAACAATTGAAGTCATGCATCAATACAGGATGTCTTTAAGTTGATTTTGGCTGAATGAGAACAAAGGCCAAGAGGCAGGATCCACATATGATTTTTTCAGTAGGCTTTAACCTCCCTAGCGGTATGATTATTTCAGATTTTTGGTGCTGAAAGCGGTACCATTATTTTGCATGGAAATATGTAGTTTTTTTTTATTGTAGGCTGTAATATTTAGGAATAACTCACTGAAATCTGTCCGAACAAGAGTCTATTAAACATCCCGAGTATGATAAAATTTGAAACACAAAATCATAAATTATAATTTAATAAATAATCATAAAAAATAATAATATAATAATAATACATTTATTTCAATAATATAATCAAACCAAAAATATTGAAATTTGAAATATAGCGCCAAGTTCGCACATCACTGAGCAAAGTCGCAAAATTGTTTTCAGTGTCTGATGACGAATTTCTCCACGAATCATCACTCAATTCTGCAAGTGGTTCTGATTTACTATCGCTGTTATCTAGCTGATCTAAACCCGCTTTTGACCTAAAGGGATGCTTTTTGGACGCCATGGACTTTTCTAAGTTTCCAGGCAGAAAGAACAGTCAAAATGCAGACAGGGGACAGGACAAAGCACTCGGGACAAAATGTATGTGAAATGGTTTGAAACAGCAATGTTTTTCTATGTAAAATTCGTTTTGGAAAAATGACATTTTTTTTAAAATTTTCAAATTTCCCGCCCGCGCCTGTATGTCCCGACGTCACAGGGACCAGAACACAGAAGCTGGATGCCGGCATCGGCCAGAGGAAATGGCCGGGGATGCTGCAGGGGACACATCGCGGGAGCGAAGGACAAGGTAAGCTCTGCAGGGACTCCCTATGCAGCGCTGCATGGTGAGCCCGAGTGTAGCTCGGGGTTACCACTTTTGGTACTGACATTTTACCCCGAGCTACACTCGGAAATACCGCCAGGGAGGTTAAAAGGGGGATTCAGAGGAGGGGAGGTGGAAATTCAGACCCTTATCAAGCATCCCTCAACCAAAACATATGAGAAATGTGGTTTGAGCCGAACAGCTCAGAGCAAACTTTTGCCTTTGGTGGCAAAATTGTCATTCCACAATAACCTGTTCAGGATGTGGCTAGTCATTGACTTAAAATATTTTGGCAAATCCTCCTGCGCTGCTATGACTATTAAAGATAGAAACAGCTGCTAACATCCAATCCTCCCCTTAAGACGGACAAATAGATAAATTGGTATAATAGTGATGTAGCGCTATAAATGAACTATTTCCTTTTGTACAAGATATAACAGTGATACAAAATAATACCCAGATCTATTCAGGTAACATTTGTAGGTGACTAGTGCAATATCAAATAACAAGTGATAATACAAAATCCAAGTGGCACACAGTGATTCCCTATACAGGGATATAGGTCACCATATATAGATGATATTAATGCAAATGTCCACAGCAACCGGTGATTCCACATATAACAATAGCACACACAATTCTTCAAAACATGCTCCTGTGTTGGTGCAGGTGGTAAGAGATAATCCTAAATAGCAGGCATGCCCGCTCACCTTCCCCCTGAGACCCGCAGGGGCCACAACGCCTTATGGATCACCCAGGATCCTACACGTTCCTTTCCAGGATACAGATAGCTCCACAAGCCTCAGTAGCCTTTAATCCACCTTCAGTTGTTTTTTTCATAGATGGCACTGTATAGTTGCAAGAAAAAGTATGTGAACCACTTGGGATTACATGGAGTTTTGCATGAATTGGGCATAAAATGTGCTCTGAACGTCATCTAAGTCACAACAATAGAAGAACAGTCTGCTGAACATAATACTACACAAACATTAGATGTTGCCATGGTTTAATTGCACATAACATGTAAACATTCACAGTGCAGGGAGGAAAAAGTATGTGAGGCCCTAGCTTAATGACTTCTCCCAGAGCTAATTGGAGCCAGGAGTGAGCCAACCTTGACTCCAATCAGTGTGATGATATTGGATGTGTTGCTGACAGCTGTCCTGCCCTTAAAAAACACACCTGTTTTGGGTTTACTGGTTTCAAGAAGCACTGTCTGATGTGAACCATGCCTCGCAGAAAAGAGCTCTCAGAAGACCTACGATCAAGAATTGTTGACTTGCATGAAGCTGGAAAGGGTTACAAAAGTATCTCCAAAAGCCTTGATGTTCATGTGTCCACGTTAAGACAGACTGTCTACAAATGGAGAAAGTTTAGCACTGTTGCTACTCTCCCTAGGCATGGTCGTCCTGTAAAAATGACTGCAAGAGCACAGCGCAGAATGCTGCATGAGGTAAAGAAGAATCCCAGAGTGTCAGCTAAAGACCTACAGAAATCTCTGGCACATACTAACATTTTTGTTGACACATCTACAATAAGGAAAACATTAAACAAGAATGGAGTACATGGGAGGACACCACAGAGGAAGCCATTGCTGTCCAAAAAGAATATTGCCGCACGTTTGAAGTTTGCAAAAGAGCACCTGGATGTTCCACAGCACTACTGGCAAAATATACTGTGGACAGATGAAACCAAGATTGAGTTGTTTGGGAAGAACACACAACACTATGTGTGGAGAAAAAAAGGCACAGCACACCAACATCAAAACCTCATCCCCACTGTAAAACATGGCGGAGGGAGCATCATGGCTTGGGGCTGCTTTGCTGCCTCAGGGACTGGACGGATTGTTGTCATTGATGGGAAAATGAATTCCAGAGTTTATCAAGACATTTTGCAGGAAAACGTACGACCATCTGTCCGCCAACTGAAGCTCCGCAGAGGATGGGTGATGCAACAAGACAATGACCCAAAGCATACAAGTAATTCAACAAAACAATGGCTGCAACAGCACAGAATACGCCTTCTGGAGTGGCCCAGTCAGAGTCCTGACCTCAACCCGATTGAAATGCTGTGGCATGACCTTAAGAGAGCGATTCACACCAGACATCCCAAGAATATTGCTACACTGAAACAGTTTTGTGAAGAGGAGTGGTCCAAAATTACTCCAGATCGTTTTGCAGGTCTGATCTGCAACTACAGGAAATGTTTGGTTGAGGTTATTGCTGCCAAAGGAGGGTCAACCAGTTATTAAGTCCAAAGGTTCACTTACTTTTTCCTCCCTGCACTGTGAATGTTTACATGTTATGTGCAATTAATCCATGGCAACATCTAATGTTTGTGTAGTATTATGTTCAGCAGACTGTGTTCTTCTATTGTTGTGACTTAGATGACGTTCAGAGCACATTTTATGCCCAATTCATGAAAAACTCCACGTAATCCAAAGGGGTTCACATACTTTTTCTTGCAACTGTATATACCCTTGTAAATGCGTGATGTGTTGGGATCATACAACAGAAACGCATAGATCCTCCATAGTGCAAACTGTATATCAGGTTTAATGTAGATAAAAAAAAATGCACTCTGGTGGTTTTTATTTAATGTAGATAAAAAAAGAGCACTCTGGTGTGCCAAGATGGCGCTGGACCGGAAGTGTGTCACCACGTCGCTTCTACGCGTTACACCACGCCCCTCGTAGCTTCGTCAGGAGCTTAGTCATTGACTTGCTGTGCTGTGTTCAAGAGCATTCTCAGCACAGCCTGAGCACCAATATTAGGTTCTTTGCTTCTATACCCAGGACTGTGGATACTTCTCCTTTGTGAGTAGGATACCACAAACCACTTTACAGTGCATATTGCTATCCACTCTCCGTTATACACTGCAGTATTGCTCAATCCCATAGCCTGCATTTTGTGGCTCATTCTTGAAATGCAGTCCCTGGTATCGAGCTTGCAGTAGTTCACAGAGCTCTCTCTGATTAAAGTAAATGTAAATCCTCACCTTGTCAAAAAAAAAAACCCCATTCAGTTTCAGATAGAAATGAAAGGCAAAACATTTCTGTATACAGTGAGGAACAGAAGTATTTGAACACCCTGCGATTTTGCAAGTTCTCCCACTTAGAAATCATGGAGGGGTCTGAAATTCACATTGTAGGTGCATTCCCACTCTGAGAGACAGAATTTCAAAAACAAAATCAGGAAATCACATTGTAGGATTTTTAAAGAATGTATTTGTCTTGCACTGCTGAGCATACGTATTTGAACACCTGAGAAAATCATTGTTAATATTTGGTACAGAAGCCTTTAGTTCCTGTAGTTCTTGACCAGGTTTGCACACACTGCAACAGGGATTTTGGCCCACTCCTCCACACAGATCTCCTCTAGATCTTTCAGGTTTTGGGGCTGTTGCTGAGCAACACGGAGTTTCAGCTCCCTCCAAAGATGTTCTATTGGATTTAGGTCTGGAGACTGGCTAGGCCACTCCAGAACCTTGATATGCTTCTTACGGAGCCACTCCTTGGTTCTCCTGGCTTTGTGCTTCGGATCGTTGTCATGTTGGAAGGCCCAGCCACGACCCATCTTCAATGCTCTGACTGAGGGAAGGAGGTTGTTGCTCAAAATCTCACAATAAATGGCCCCATTCATCCTCTCCTTAATACAGTGCAGTCGTTCTGTCCCCTTCTCAGAAAAGCACCCCCAAAGCATGATGTTACCACCCCCATGCTTCACAGTAGGGATGGTGTTCTTGGGATGCAACTCATCCTTTTTCCTCCAAACACGACGAGTGAAGTTTAGACCAAAAAGTTCTACTTTGGCCTCATCTGACCACATGACTTTCTCCCATGCCTCGTCTGGATCATCCAGATGGTCATTGGCAAACTTCAGATGGGCCTGGACATGTGATGACTTGAGCAGGGGAACCTTCCGTGCAATGCATGATTTGAAACCATGACGGCGTAGTGTTCTACCGACAGTGACCTTTGAAACTGTGGTCCCAGCTCTCTTCATGTCATTGACCAGCTCCTCCCTTGTAGTTCTGGGCTGATTCCTCACCTTTCTTATCATCAGTGATACCCCACGAGGTGAGATCTTGCATGGAGCCCCAGTCCGAGGGAGACTGACAGGTCGTCTTTAGCCTCTTCCATTTTCTAACAATTGCTCCAACAGTTAATCTATTTTCACCAAGCTGCTTGGCAATTGCCCCGTAGCCCTTTCCAGCCTTGTGGAGGTCCACAATTTTGTCTCTGGTGTCTTTTGACAGGTCTTTAGTCTTGCCCATGGTAGTAGTTGGCGTCTGACTGACTGTGGGGTGGACAGGTGTCTTTAAAGAGCTCAGACAGGTGCTACTAAGTTAGATTAATGAGTGGAGTAGAGGTGGACTTTTTAAAGGCACAGTAACAGGTCTTTGAGAGCCAGAATTCTTGCTCTTTCTTAGGTGTTCAAATACTTATGTTCAGCAGTGCCAGACAAATAAATTCTTTAAAAATCATACAATGTGATTTCCTGAATTTTTTTTGAAATTCTGTCTCTCAGAGTGGGAATGCACCTACAATGTGAATTTCAGATCCCTCCACGATTTCTAAGTGGGAGAACTTGCAAAATCACAGGGTGTTCAAATACTTCTGTTCCTCACTGTAGATATGAAAAAAAAACAAACAGTTTTTTCCCTTTTTTTTTTTTTTTTTTTTTAAAAAGAGATCACATTCCCTCTGTTCTCAGCTGCATAAGGAGCGAGGGGTACACTGAAATTCCCATTGAATGGCTGTGTGAAAGGGGGGGGGGGGGGTGTCAAGACAAGACTGATCATTGGAGAGAAGAGCACACCAAGTTCCCGGCACAGCTAGAGAAATGACCATGTTGTGCTCTCATGCCTAGTGTGGTCAGTTTTTTAATAGGGAGGGGTGTCTAGAGCAGACAGTGGTGACTTACAGTCGCTGCTCTCTGCTCAGAGCAGCTGTGAGAACAATCAGCAGTCATGTTATCACTGAGTTCTCACCCTTAGAGCCGGTGGGGGCAGATGCAGCATCAAACGATTTAAAAAATGTATTGCCAACTTACATTGCTCCAGCTTGGCATGTAAAAATACATAATTTATATCTGGATTGCTGCTGGGGTACTGAAAATGACTGAAGTAGCCACAATCGTCTGGGTCCTGCTTGAGTAGCTTTCTTTCTGACCACAGGGTTTTGCTCACTCTGCACCAATGCGATTCATTGAATGCTTTTGTATTTTTTTCAATAAATGCAAGGCATTCTCTGATTAAACAAAGTGTAGCATCCCCAGCAGCCATCCAGGTATATGATATGGATACTTATGTCAGGTCAAGCTGGACCATTATTAAATGACTGTGTGTACACACACACACTTCAAAAAAATTAAAGGAAGTTTTTAATCAGAGTATAGCATCAAGTCAATTAAACCCCTGGAATATTGATCTGGTCAGCTAAGTAGCAGAGGGGGTTGATAATCAGTTTAAGCTGCTTTGGTGAAATTAACAACAGGTGCAATAGATGGGCAAAAATGAGACGACCCCCCAAAACAGGAATGGTTTTACAGGTGAAGGCCACTGACATTTCTTTCACTACTCATCTTTTCTGACTGCTTTTCACTAGTTTTGCATTTGGCTAGGGTCAGTGTCACTACTGGTAGCATGAGGAAATACCTGGACCCTACAGAGGTTGCACAGGCAGTCCAAATCCTCCATCAATACATGCCATTGCCAGAAGGTTTGCTATGTCTTCCAGCACAGTGTTAAGAGATTCCAGGAGACAGGAAGTTACTCTAGGAGAGCTGGACAGGGCCATAGAAGGTCCTTAATCCATTAACAGGACCGGTATCTGCTCCTTTGTGCAAGGAGGAACAGGATGAGCACTGCCAGAGCCCTACAAAATTACCTCCAGCAGGCCACTGGTATGAATGTCTCTGACCAAACAATCATAAACAGACTTCATAAGGGTGACCTAAGAGCCCGACGTCCTCTAGTGAGCCCCGTGCTCACTGCCTGGCACCATAGAGCTCGATTGGCATTTGCCATTGAACACCAGAATTGGCAGGTCCGCCACAGGCACCCTGTGCTTTTCACAGATGAGAGCAGGTTCACCCTGAGCACATGTGATAGACGGGAAAGGGTCTGGAGAAGCCATGGAGAATGTTATGCTGCCTGGAACATCGTTCAGCATGGCCGTTTTGGTGGCGGGTCAGTGATGGTCTGGGGAGGCATATCCATGGAAGGACACACAGACCTCTACAGGCTAGAAAATGGCAACCTGACTGCCATTAGGTATCGGGATGAAATCCTTGGATCCATTGTCAGACCCTACGCTGGTGCAGTGGGTCCTGGGTTCCTCCTGCTGCATGACAATGCCCGGCCTCATGTAGTAGCGAGAGTATATAGGCAGTTCCTGGAGGATGAAGGAATTGATACCATTGAATGGCCCCCACATCGCCTGACCTAAATCCAATAGAACACCTCTGGGATATCATGTTTCGTAGCACCTCAAACTGTCCAGGAGCTCAGTGATAATCTGGTCCAGATCTGAGAGGAAATACCCCAGGACATCATCCCTCGTCTCATTAGGAGCATGCCCCGATATTGTCAGGCATGCATACAAGCACGTGGGGGCCATACAAACTACTGAGTACCATTTTGAGTTGCTGCAATGAAATTTCAGCAAAATGGACTAGCCTGCTGCATCATTTTTTCTCTTTGATTTTCGGGGTGTCTTAGAATTCAGTCCTCTGTAGGTTGATCATTTTCATCAAACGATGAGGCATCCTTACATTTCTAACACATTACCCCGTCCATAGCAGTAGATGGATATCCAGCATGATATTTGCCCACCCTCAAACACAATCTAAAAATGAAGAGAGAGAAGCAAGAGAGATGTTCCTCAAGCACTCACCTCTGGAATGAAAGTAGCCAGCCATGCCTGAAGACATGATCAGGAAAGCCCAGTGTTATCCTTGTGTGGGAACAAGAGTCATCCTTATACCTACACCCTCCAGCGGCCCACAGCCTCTCTCGGATTCCATGGAAGAGCTCAGGTAGTGCCTCACCTGGCCCCCATCCTCTGTCACCTGCCATGTGTGTCCCTCTTTCCGGGGGGGGCTGCCCCCCCGAAATGTGCCGCCAAAGGCAAAAACCCGGTTTGCTTTGTGGTAAATAAGCCTATATATATATACACATATACACATATACACATATACAGTATATATATTTCTGTGTATTTATTATACATTACGTTTATTTATTGAGAAGTACAGAGGATTAAATCAATGCTGATGTAGGATTTGCATTCTCAGCTTCACACTGCCAAGCCTGCTCTTGTGTCGCTGTGATATAGTGAGGTGGATTAGGTATCTTACTAGGTTTTGTATTCTCATCTATTTGGGCCTGAATTATCATCTTAGTTTAACATGGAGTAAGACATTCAAAAAACATTTGTACTGGGTCAATTTCACTGTCAACCCCCCTGGTTATACAGTGAATAACAGTTTGCTGTTTTCTTGTTTCTCAGGAGATATAACTTACCTTCATTTTTTTCAGGCTCTCTATTTGTTGGTTCTGATGGATAATTCATGTCTACTTCCCCTTTCATTAGAATTGTGATATAATGATAATTATGTTCAATACTAATTCCATTGACTACTGAAGCAAAACGGACATTGGTAAGGTGAAGGCCTGCTTCCTCCAGGGTCTCCCGTTCCGCACAGGCCTCCCAGCTTTCACTGAAACAACAACACATCAGCAATCACTGAACTGTCACATAGATGAACAGATTTTAAAGCCATAAGCACAAAAGTATTTTTTAATGCTAACATTTGCAAAAATCTTGCTCCAAGTTAGTATAAACATATAATAGTTACAGTTGCAAGAAAAAGTATGTGAACCCCTTGGGATTACGTGGAGTTTTGCATGAATTGGGCATAAAATGTGCTCTGAACGTCATCTAAGTCAAAACAATAGAAGAACACAGTCTGCTGAACATAATACTACACAAACATTAGATGTTGCCATGGTTTAATTGCACATAACATGTAAACATTTACAGTGCAGTGAGGAAAAAGTATGTGAACCTTTGGACTTAATAACTGGTTGACCCTCCTTTGGCAGCAATAACCTCAACCAAACATTTCCGGTAGTTGCAGATCAGACCTGCACAACGATCTGGAGTAATTTTGGACCACTCCTCTTCACAAAACTGTTTCAGTGTAGCAATATTCTTGGGATGTCTGGTGTGAATCGCTCTCTTAAGGTCATGCCACAGCATTTCAATCAGGTTGAGGTCAGGACTCTGACTGAGCCACTCCAGAAGGCGTATTCTGTGCTGTTGCAGCCATTGTTTGTTGACTTACTTGTATGCTTTGGGTCATTGTCCTGTTGCATCATCCATCCTCTGCGGAGCTTCAGTTGGCGGACAGATGGTTGTACGTTTTCCTGCAAAATGTCTTGATAAACTCTGGAATTCATTTTCCCATCAATGACAACAATCCGTCCAGTCCCTGAGGCAGCAAAGCAGCCCCAAGCCATGATGCTCCCTCCGCCATGTTTTACAGTGGGGATGAGGTTTTGATGCTGGTGTGCTGTGCCTTTTTTTCTCCACACATAGTGTTGTGTGTTCTTCCCAAACAACTCAATCTTGGTTTCATCTGTCCACAGTATATTTTGCCATTAGTGCTGTGGAACATCCAGGTGCTCTTTTGCAAACTTCAAACGTGCTGCAATATTCTTTTTGGACAGCAATGGCTTCCTCCGTGGTGTCCTCCCATGTATTCCATTCTTGTTTAAGGTTTTCCTTATTGTAGATGTGTCAACAAAAATGTTAGCATGTGCCAGAGATTTCTGTAGGTCTTTAGCTGACACTCTGGGATTCTTCTTTACCTCATGCAGCATTCTGCACTGTGCTCTTGCAGTCATTTTTACAGGACGACCATGCCTAGGGAGAGTAGCAACAGTGCTAAACTTTCTCTATTTGTAGACAGTCTGTCTTACCGTGGAAACATGAACATCAAGGCTTTTGGAGATACTTTTGTAACCCTTTCCAGCTTCATGCAAGTCAACAATTCTTGATCGTAGGTCTTCTGAGAGCTCTTTTCTGCGAGGCATGGTTCACATCAGACAGTGCTTCTTGAAACCAGTAAACCCAAAACAGGTGTGTGTTTTTTAAGGGCAGGACAGCTGTCAGCAACACATCCAATATCATCACACTGATTGGAGTCAAGGTTGGCTCACTCCTGGCTCCAATTAGCTCTGGGAGAAGTCATTAAGCTAGGGCCTCACATACTTTTTCCTCCCTGCACTGTGAACGTTTACATATTATGTGCAATTAAACCATGGCAACATCTAATGTTTGTGTAGTATTATGTTCAGCAGACTGTGTTCTTCTATTGTTTTGACTTCGATGACTTTCAGAGCACATTTTATGCCCAATTCATGCAAAACTCCACGTAATCCCAAGGGGTTCACATACTTTTTCTTGCAACTGTAAATCTGCTGAGACTAGCAGTCAGAGACAGCAGTGCTTTAAATCTCTTAATTCAGATATTGTATACAGAGTTGAGGATGCGTTCAAGACAAAAAAGGTACGTATTTCAGGGTAATGCATAGGAACAATTAAGGCCTCTTTTGCACAGATGTTCCAATCAGGTCCGCCTGCCCGTTTTTCAGGCGGACCCAATCGGAACCTCTATTCTCCTCTACGGAGCAGCGGGTGTAAAACGGACATATGCCCATTTACACTCGCCAACATCCAATCCGATCCGCCAAAAAGAGACGGATAAGGATCCATTCCCCTTCTGTCTGTCGGATCGGATGGGATGGAAGTCGGATGGAAACAGACAAGCGGTCCATAGCCATCTGACCGCCCATAGAGGACAGCAGGCTGTGTCTGCTATGCAGCAGCGGAGTGGACACGGAACTGTTATCCGCTTGCTCAGCAGGGTTCAGTGGACAGATGCCCTGCTGCTGAGCAAGTGGATCTGCTGGCGGGTCCGCCCCCTTTGAAAGGGGCCTTACATTTCAAAATGTTCCATAAATCTGTTCAGTCAATCTTTATTTTTGTTTTCAGGTCTGTGAGGACAGGAATATGAGGTGACCACTGTTGTCATTGTTGTCACTTTACTTCACTAATCAGTGAAGGATGAATAAGGAGATCATTGTTGCAGGCAGCACCTTTAAACACTAGTCATTATTTGCAGCTTTGATACCTCTAACTGGAACCATACACTTTAGAAGATCCTAAGGTTAAAGTTCAACTCCAGTATAAAATATACCCTTTCAGTTACACCCCTCCGCCTGCTGAGCGCGCTGCATAACCTGTGTGTAGCATCATCTACATACAGTATACAGCACTGTGTTTCGGCAGTGGGGTGGAAACTTCCTTTCCTGCTTCCAGAATAAAATCAAGTCAAACTGAGTGCTGCTCGGCCATTCACCAAGAGCTTTGTATTCTATGAATGATTGACTGAGGCAAAGATTGTGCCGTCATTCCCCTGCCTCTCTGCCTCAGCCAATCAGAGGATGTTTTTTTGGTCGTTCATAGAATGCAAAGCTTTATGTGAATGGATAAGCAGCACTCAGTTCAACTCAATTCTGTTCCTGCTCCTGAAACACAGCTCTATATACTGCATGTAGCTGATGAAACATAGAATTTTAGAATTTGAACAAATGCACCCAAACGGGCACATCTGTTCGTGAAGGAAATAGTTTGTTTGAGCCGGCTTGGCCCAAATGAACTATTTAAAGTCACAGTAAACACGGAGTTAGGCTTTAAATGCTCATTATTTCTAGAAGGTACGGGGACAGGCAAGTATTGTCCTATCTCTCACTATGGCGCTCTCTTCTTCTCTGGTCTGTGGGCAGTCTCTTGGCATCATCAAGTACAATGCAGGGTTAATAACCTTGCATTGTACATGGTGGGAGTATGTGAGTACAGTCGTGAGTACTGTCACACTGCTGGAGCTCAAATAAAGGAAGCACTTCTCTTCATTCGGTCATCCCTGGACATAACATGCATTTAACCCTTGCAGTACAGGGGACCTGCTGCAAGGGTATTTTTTGTTGTGCTTGGAGCTTGGAACTCTAGGAAAACAGCTGACAACACAAACTAAATAAAAGCAGAAATTTATACTGTTTTAGTTGCCAAAAAATATTCACAATTCTGTACAGCCAGTCTTGTGATTGAACACACTGCACAACTAGAAAGATCATTGTACAGCTTCCAGATTCAGCTTTACTGATTTCTAATTCTGGTTCATTGCTTCCTGAACCACCGTATGCTTTCTGGACAATGGTGATACTATTAAATGTAGTCATTTTCCTGGAGCCTTGCTTTTAAAAAAAAAAAAAAACACACACACACAACACACAGCATTTATGTAACATATCTATATTTTGACTAAACATCGGTCACTGTGTGCTAAAAGCCATACCCAAATTCCAGATGTCCTCCTGGAAGTTGATACATGCCAGCTCCTGGAGATCCCTTTCCTTTCCTTCTCCCCAATAACACACAGCCTGGATGAGATGTACTTGTAACCACAACACCAATTCCGACTCCGGGTCGACCATTGGTTGCCATAGTGTCTTTAGGATTTTATGCGGTTTGACAAAATTCAGATACTTCTGGCAGCTACTGGCAGTTCCTGTAATTAAATAAATTATCATAAATACATTTTTTAAATTAAAAAAGGACACAATATTACAAGTCAAGGTTTCCAAAATCATGTACAAACATGAATTATGAATGTGTACTGACAAAAGCAGCAGAGCTCTAATAATTGGAAAACTACCTACATAATAGAAAAGGAAAAGGATGAGAGGTATCATTCCGACGCAGTCATGTAACTATATTATCATGTATTCAAGGACCACACCAGTCCAGCACCAACAGTAGGAAACAAAGGAAACGTTTGAGCAATATCCCCCATTATAGAGAAAGTTTCTCAACCTTTGTTACAGCACTCTTTTGCAAAATCTTGAAACACCCTGGTCTAAACTTTAGACTCTAAAAGGATAAGTTCACCTTTTGCACAAAGATAATAAAAAATAAAAAAAATGTGCATTTATTATTTTTGTCTGCAGGAGCCTGTAAAGCATTGCACCAGCGATCAGTAGATCACTGGTGCCATGCAGGTCTCCTGCAGACCTGTCAGAATACCTGCTTGCCGTATGGGGTGTTCAAGCAGGCAGATATTCTGGCACGAAGATTCATTGAACTACCACGGAGCTCCACAGCGCCGCGGTAGTTCATTGAAAACTACAAGCCCCACAGCTGCTAAGGCTGTCGTTACTTGCACTTCATTCATTTACAGAACTTTGTGAATGAATGACGCATCCATGTGGCAGGGTGGAGCCCCGGCACGGCCGGCCGCACGGTTTTCAAATCGGTCAGCTAGTAAGAGGAACTTCTCCCTATACTTCTGCCAGAGAGAAGGAGGTGGGAAACAGCAAGTGGCGGCTGCAGCATTGAAAGCATGTTACATGATCCTCCCTAAAAACGGGTGGAACATGTAACATGTTCCCAAAGGTGAACTTATCCTTTAAGGCCAATGCACACCCTGGTGCATGAGGCTCTGGCATTTAGCTGTGGGTGAAGGGCACATGTGAACCATCCAGCCTTGCTGCCAGCAGCTTGCCAAACTCTGAGAAAATGACAGCTGCTGCAACAGGATGGGCCGGGGGAAAAACGCTACGTACATTCAAGGCCATGTGTACCCAGAGATAAATGCTCAGAATGCAAACTCCAATCTAAGGTCCAGAGCGCTTTGGAACAGGTTTTCATCAAGGATGTCTCTGTACATTGCAGCATTCATCTTTCCTTTGATTCTGACTAGTCTCCCAGTTCCTGCCACTGAAAAACATCCCAACAGCATGATGCTGCCACCACCATGCTTCACTGTAGGGATGGTATCCTATCGGAAACAGTCACATTTCAGTAAAGGCACTGTAATCAGGAAAGTGCAGGTGCGACAACTGCTGAAGAGGCATGAGCTCAGGTGTGTTTGGATCCTAGCCTGAACCCACCTGATCTATCCTGCTATGAAGCTGTCACTGTGCACCGCCAATCATGAGTGACCAAGGCATTTCTCAGCCCGCAGCTGCACCTATTTATGCTCCTTTCATATGCGTGTCTGTGGAGAATGCCTCAGTTGCTTATGATCAGTAGTGCACAGTGACAGCTTCCTGGTGGGATAGCTCAGGTGGATTGAACTGGGATCCGAACACCTCTGAGATGATCCCTACTGATGAACAGCCAGCAGTCATGAAGAGCACGGGTGTATTCAGACTAAGGCTGGCCATACACTATACAATTTTATTACAAATTTCTTTTTTTTTTTTTTCCAAAAAACTAATTTCTGCCCAATTTCCTTTAGATTTTCCTTCAACTATGTAGTGCAAAGGCCTGTCTAATTAAATACAATTGAAAATGTTGTTAGGTTTGACCTCCTATTATATGGTTTTTGATAAATCTAAAGCAAAATTCTCAAGAAAATTGTATAATGTATGGCCAGCATTAGGCTGACTATACATTATACAATTTTCTTGAGATTTTTGGTTTAGATTTACCAAAAAACATGTAATAGGAGGTCAATACTAGTAAAACTTTCAATTGTATCCAATTAGGCAGGCTCTTGAAGGTAAGGCTGGCCATACACTATACAATTTTCTGCCCAATTTCCTTTAGATTTACCTTAAACTATGTAGTGCAAGGGCCTGCCTAATTGGATACAATTGAAAGTGTTGTTAGGTTTGACCTCCTATTTATGTTTTTTTGTTAAATCTAAACCAAAATTCTCAAGAAAATTGTATGTATGGCCAGATTAAATCTAAAGGAAATTAGGCAGAAATTGGACAGAAAATTGTATAGTGTATGGCCAGCCTTAGGCTCCATTCACACCAATGCATTTTTAGTGCTTTTTGCAGAAATGCACTACAGTCCATTTAACGTGGTTTCTTATAGGACATGTTCACATTTATGTTTTTTTTGAGCTGCTGCAATTTTTGGAAAGGGTCAGGGACTTTTTTAAAAGCTACAATGGAGAAGCTGCTGAAATGCATGGTAGTGTGTTTTTGTGTTTTGCATTTTTATTCTGCCCAGCAACAAAAAAAAAAATCCACTTTAACAAAAAAAAAAACCAGCTGAACAAAAATGCGTCCAAAAAAAGAAAAATGCAAAACAAACTGCGAAAAGCATTGCAAAACGACAAAAAGCAAACTGCATAGGTATGCATTCAATCTGAACCCACAGTTGCAAGCCCGCCAGGAAGATGCCACGTGTAGGAGCCAATCATCTGTGGCGGAGGTCATTCCCCAGCCCGCAAGAATACAGGGAGTATGCGCATGGCTGTGGCAGGAAATGCCCTGGTGGCAGATGATTGGTCTGTACAGGTATAGATTCATACACATGGGTTTCAGGTCAGGGGCGGACTGACCATTTGGAAACTCAGGCACTGCCCGAGGGCCCGGGTCAGTAGGGGACCCCATGAGATGCCCCTGGTACCTTTTTCATATCCTTTTTTAAGTTTGGGCAAGGACACAGGGGCCCCATGAGTTGTCAGTCCGCCCCTGGTTCAGGTCCTAATCTGAACACGCTTGAGTACATCACTGACCAGCAGCACAGATTCCGCCATTGACGCTGCTTACTGTTGATGGGGAATAAAATGATTCAGCATCCCGGGCTGAACATGAGAAAATCTAACTATGTATGGCTAGCTTTAAAGCAATGGAGACCTCCGAGGCAGTGTTTTTATTTTATTTTTTTACAGATTATATTTCTCTTCTGTTATCAGATGCAAAGGTGTTCAGTGGAGTTCTTCACCATTTATTACTCTTTATGTCCAATAACTACATACAGCTCTAGGACATTAAAAACAGAGATTGCAAAGTGCTAAGAAGGAGAATAAAAGAGAATTGTGATAAATGAATAAAACAAAGCATGAGAGGTAGTAGCTGAGCTTCCCTTTTATTTACCTTCCTTCATTAAGATATCAATGTCCCAGTCAATCTTCACCAGCTACAGCCTTCTTCGGTTCAGTACAATCACAGTCCTGATTGTAGAATGCAATACTGTACCTCGTATCCACATTGTGATGTCCTCACTGCAGCACCATGCTTCCTGTACTGCTGGGGGCGGAGCCAGTGACATCACTGACAGCAAAGCCGAGGAACCGTCAGTCCAGACTCAGTGCCCCCTCTGTAGTCACTGATGTCTCTTGCTGTGCCCTGCCATAGAAGTGCAGGCTCCAGTATGTGTGTATATATATATATACCGCTAATCACTGAATGTTCTTGCTTCTTTTTTATACATTTTACTCATAAGCCTGGATTCACACTGATGCGGTGCAGATTTCACAGCAATTTATTTATTTCAGGTGCTGTCAATTTATGCAGCGCTTTACATATATATTGTACATTCACATCAGTCCCTAACCCTCAAGGGGTGTACAATCTAAGGTCTTTAACTCACATTCATACATACACATACTAAGGCTAATTTAGACAGCAACCAATTCACCTACCAGCATGTCTTTGGAATGTGGGAGGAAACCGGAATACCTGGAGGAAACGCACGCAGGCACAGGGAGAACATGCAAACTCCAGTCAGGTGGTGCCGTGGCTGGGATTTGAACCAACGACCCTAGTACTGCCAGGTGGAAGTGCTAACCATTTAGCCACTGTGCACCACATCACAATTGCACCCCGTTCATGCGAACCACAGGTATGTATGTTAACAATACCCCGAAATCAGTCTGCAAAACTTGGTATGATGTGCAGAATCAGATTGCATGGGTGTGAATAGCCATGCTATCTAATTCTAGTGCGGACCAAAAAAAAGGTCCTGCACCTTTTTGGTGCGGATGCAGTGCGATTTGAGCCATACAAAATGTATGGCTCAAATCGCACCGCACAGAATTCGCATGTGATTTGCACGGGAATGCGGTGCGTTTCCTGTGCGAAACGCATGCAATATGCCGCACCTCACAAGTGTGAATCCAGGCTAAACGTCCATGGACAGCCTTATTTTTTCAACAATCACTGGGGAAGTTATCAAAAAATGAAACAGACAGAATTTAGAGCAGCTATGCATGGCATCCAATCAGCTTCTCTCTTCACCTTGTTCGCTTACAGTGGGAATACACGATTAGAAAATAGACCAATCAGTCAACCGACAACTGAGAGGCGTTCGTTCGTTGGTCGAAATCGGGACCCACATTAACCAATCTAAAAAAAAAACGTTCGTCGGGCAATACATAGTGTTGACATCTTCCGTACAAGTGGAAGTGATGCAGTGTCTGTGTGACCTTGTAGCCACAACCTTCCGGCCAGAACACGCGATATACACAACAATTACCAGCAATGAGTATAATATAGTTTATTACATTAACTATATACATAAATAGTGATACATAAAATATAATATGCAGAATTCTGGTTTCATTATCTCATTAGGCCAATCTACTTTTAACATTTGGATTTTTCGTTCGTGTTTACGAAGATTCCTTGGACATAAACATCCGGGTCATCTTCTGTTTCCGCTCATCAGTGATAGCGCTTGATAGATTTTTTTCCTACGACTGT